TTATGCCAACAGATGACATCCAGCTGCTTTTCAGCGATATTCGTTTCTTTCTTTATCGGCTAGGCAAGGAACTTGATGCAAGACAATTTGAGGGCACAGCTGAAAGTCTGAACCAACCACTGGCTTGAACAAAGATCGCAAAACTATCGCTTATTATTTATGGGTTGACTTTATTATTAAAGGTAGCAAACTAACTATACATTTCTTCCTAAAGAGTTCCCAAATCATTTCACCTATTATGACGCATCAAATTTATAAACACGCTCATAGGCGAGGTATCCTTCTAGGATTTACTGTTGTCATGCTTGTTCATGAGATAATGGAGAATATTGGATTTGGGATAGATGAGATTGTTGCCTTTTGCTTGCATGAGAACTAAAAGCAGGACCATATTAATGAGCATTGCCGTTCCGGAGTGTCATGTTGAGTAGTATAAGTACTTACAGAAGTACAAAGTTTATACCTCATGCAAGTCATAACTCACGATTAAAGGTGTCTGTGGCCCTCTTGAAGTTTATTAGCTTCTTGTTGTGGCTTTTTCACTTATTACATTGATGGCATGAGTTACGTTGTTTGCATTTCAGTTTCCTAAGACAAATAAATTGCTAATTTCTTCTATCTGCAAATTTACTTGAGCCATTGCAATGATTGGGATGATTTTTTTTTGTAGATTTGAACGACGATCAGATATAGTAGTATTGCTGATTAGCCATGAAACGGTTGCCCGAAGGAGATGCCCAGGAATTCTTCCGTGAAAGGATATAAACGGAGTAACGCACACCTAAAATTATTTCGACATTCACGCCGTCAAGATTTTTTCACAGTCCCATTTTCAGGTTCGTGATTTCACTTTCGTTGCAACCCTGAAGAGTGACGAAAGTATACTCTATCATACTTCACCTTGTAATGAAATGTATGGAATGGGGGGAGTGCAAAAATGATTAGGTGATTCATTGTTCGATTTACTACAATTCAATAACTACCGAAAGCTCAGCTAGGCCTTCGTAGCTGACCTATTATCGAATGAGTAATTCGCCTTCAGAAGTTCAATGAGTTACTTGTAGAGTTGGTTCTCGACCGCGTTACGCCTTACTGAACATCGTCCACTACGCTGAAGAATCAACGTGTTGCAGTGTTTAACGTGTGCCCCCCCCCTGATTGCAGAAGAATCGCACTTCCATGCATTGTGTCGTCTATAGCTTTTATGAACTGTGGCACAACCACATTTCTATGCCGTACGTTTAAGACGAAAGCGTGAGCTCTGATAAACCATGCTTTCGCAGTACCTCTTTCTTGCCATCTGGAAGCCATCAGCGAAAATCCGTGTGTCGGTCTTGCTCGGAAATACAAATGCGAACTTTCACCTCGGCTGTTGAAGTTCAGTCTGAAATTCTGATGCAAAACTGCTTCGTTAACTCGTCGAACTTCCCTCGCGCGTTCGGAGTCATCAGTTCAGCGCTGCCGAATTTTTGTTGCCGATTAGCAACTAGACTCCTCCGAATTTCCAGCCACCTTTTCGAAACGCGTTGCTGTTATGCAGCTTCTCCTACTTGACTATGTCTTCATTTACATGACCAGATTCCGTATCTACTGTCTAAAACTGAATTCATTAAGTTTGGGTTGAATTTCTTATGGTACTGCTGATTATGACCTATCTTTAATTCTCGATCAATATGCTACTAAGGATGCTTTCTGTGTCTGCAGCAACTGTTACTTCTGAACTGCCATGTGCTCATGTTTTAGTAGCACTTACTTTTAATCTTATTCCCAGTCCAGTACGACCGACTACGGTCTTGAGCCTCACAGCGTCGACTTTGCTTGATTTTGTTTGGTACCTGTCTGAAAATGTCTCGATTATAGGCACTCGCTTTAAATACTCTTCCGAGAAGCGTAGGTTGTCTTCGAAACCTTCTGACGGTGCCCGTCACTTATGCCGCCTTAACAACTCAATTTATAACCGCCTCTTTCATATTAGATAACTTGCACTGTTTTTTGTCAGTCATAATAGCTGTATTACCATCGTTGTTCCTGATTATTTTTGCTTGTTCGCCATCCTTTCGTAAGAGGTATGAAAACACATGGTTTTCTTGGTATTTGGGTCTCATCATAATGAGAACAGATCTGCTAAGCTGAAAGGTGTTCGTTCAAAAACACGGACTGGAAACAGTGTATGTTTTGTGTACTGCTGGCTGGACAATACACATTGCTTTAGATTAGTTACATTATTGCGTCATATTATTGACCATTTGTCCAAAGGGTACAATACAAATCATAAAGCAGTTCTGAAATGGTGAATATTAGAAATGCGCGAAGCCGTAGGCGATGACATGACGTCAACGACAAACGTGAGATACAACGTGGTAAAATTAGAGTAGAGTTCGTTCGCTGCAGTCGAGACTTGTGTAACTTTCATCTGCATAATCTTACTACGATATAAGTGCTTGCCAAGCTCGGAACAATCTAGTATGACAATGCATGCAGAGCATCACCATCCAGCTGGGTAAACAGTTCGTTCGTACCCGAAATCATGGACTGGGCAAATATATGCATGCGTTCGACATGGGCATAGGCACACCGCTGTCAACGTAACGTACGAAAGAGGGCAAAATGATTGGTTAGCCGATAGTGATCATCTCGTATTGCGCCATGTGCGCATGAGAAAATGTGCGATAGTCAGGCATTCAGTTAATCACTCATCGTTAAGAACTTAAAACTGTACACAGTGTCGATGTTTCCTGCAAGCGCAACAACTTTCGCATTTTCATCTCCCTCTCTGCCCAACTCAGCATGAGTTTCGTCTTCAGTTCAGGCGTCATCTGCTGCACATCTGTCAATAACGCTTGAGCTGAATACGACTAGATCATTAGTGTGTCCGTTCGCTCGCCCGTTTCCTCGTCGTGCTTCGAAACATCTGCAGCCTGACCGACTAGTCGTCAATCATCCGCAAGGTGCTGCCAGAGACGTGAAAGTGTAGTCTTTCGCGCCACTCGGCCACCAAGAGTATATTGTGTTTTTAAGACTTACTTTAGACCTGTTCCACTAACGCAGTTGTTCCTATGGCAGATTACAAAGACATTTATTCTAACCTACGAACAACCGGTAGCACAGTGACAGAAATATGCATTAAAAATTTGCTTAAAAAATAATTCCTTTTAGATAATTAGTAATATGAAAATGTAATGTGGATAAAATTGACTTTAAAAGCGTTCTCGATTCTGAATCAGGAAATGAGTGAATATTTACTTTTTCGATTCACGGTTCGAGCCCAATTAAAATAAAACACCAAACAACGGCAATGTTCTTGTAACTGTAGAAGGAGAGTATCGATTCGTTGCCTGCCTGGATAACAATTAATGATCCTCGTTTTTCGATCCATGGTTTAAATCATCAACCTAAAAATAGTTATGAAATTTCTTTTACTCAACAACTGTTTCGACGCCATCCATCATCGTTATAACCCTGAAGAAAACGGCATTCCTGTTGCGATTCGCATTACTTCATTGAGTTTTGTGTATTTTCCTCATGTGGCAGCTATAGTTCCAGACGCAGGATCAGCACTCCGCGACAGAACACACGAGTGCCAAGACTGTAGTACGCATCACTCGAGCTCTTGCACCCCAGGCGATGTGGGCACGATTTCGTAGCAGGTTTA